GGATTTAGATATATGTCAGTAATGATAATGAATGTGATACATGGCCAAATAAATGGTAAAAACCAGTGGGACCCAAAGTGTGAAGACTTTACTTTTCTACCCTGACAGGACCCCAAAGAGAAAGTGAACTGCCAAATGGAGAGTGGGAAGATGGACTGGATCCCACCCTCCCTAGGTTAGCCAATTCTGGCACTTATTTCCAATACAAACACACTTAACCTTCACTATAATTTTCTCTTATACTCTCCACCTTGCCTATTCTTTCCACATTTATTCAAGTTCTCAGTCTCCCTGCTTCTGTACCTGATATCAGGCCTTAAAAGTCATTCCCAGTCCAGGCCTCATAGCAGCAGAAATGCAAATACCATTGGAAAAATCCTTCCCTCTCCAACATTCCTACTCTCTGCCCCTTCAGGTTACCTTATGTAAACAACAAGCATACCTTAATGGGTGGGCCTTGGCTCACCTGGCACTAGTCCACAGGAGTCTTTTCCTCTACTTTTCATTTTGAGTGGGTCAGAGAAAGTCCTGCAGTATGAAAGAGACAGAGATAGGTTGTGATCTACAAATTCCCTTTCAAGCCTATCCCTTTTCCTCTTTTTGGCATGGGTACCACCATTCTCTCAGTTACCCAGGTATCTGACTTTGTGTTTTCCTTGACTCATCACTTTCATTCACCCCACATATCCACATAATTGACAAATCTTTGAGTATCTATGTTTCCAGGACCTCACAACCTTTCCCACTTTTCCAATCATAGGGTTTCCACCCTATTTCGGTCCTTTAATACTTCTTGCCTGAACTAGTGCCATGACATCCTAATGGGCCTCCATGCCCAAAGCCTCAACATTCCAATACATCTTCCACACACCTGCCAAAGTTATTTTTCCAAAGTATAGGTCTGACCATGTCATACACCTACTCCATAAACTCCAGTAGCTACTTAGTGAGTATAGGATCAAATAAAAATGCTTCAGTTTCACATTTAAGCTCTTTACAACCAGGTCCCAATCTACCTCTTTAGGCTTACTATATAGTATTCATATTCATGAACTCTAACATCTAGCCAAACTCTTGTCCTATTATTCCTCTTATTCATGCAAAAACACAAAGTATGGAAATATGAATAGTAATTTAAAGCATATTATCACTGTGTATTAGTCATCTTTTTTCAGCAGAACCACAAAAGAAAGAGGAAAGGATTTATAGTGAAAGCTTTCTGCCAAGTCAAAATCAGAGATAATTAACTTTTGCTTGTTGTTTTTCATATTGTGTTCAGGGAATATTTCTACACAGAGAAACATGACTCCTGCTGAAAAACTCTTATATTTAGTGACTGTTATGACTTATTATTTCATTGTTGTATGGTCTACCTTTCATCTTAAGGAAAAGAAATTCACCTGCTTGGCTAAATAGATTGATCAAATTAATTGAATGATTAATTAGCAACAAAAAAGTATTCTTTTCAATTCTACCTTGTCTCCCAGGACACACAGAGAGATTTTTAGAATATAATAAATTATTTTTACCAAAGGAAAAAGGGGTTTTGTGCTATTGATAAGTAAAATATTTAAAATAATGTGTCTTTTCAACTTTATGTCATCCTTTTTAGTTTCCTTTTTTGGTACATGTTTTAGAGGGTATATAATATATTAACATATTATAGTATATATGTATAATTTACAAATAAGTGTACATGTAATAAAAATGCATATCCAAAAAGTTTAATGATTGTAGTATCTGATCAAAAAAAAGGTTGAAGATCATTGGTGTACAAAATGTGTACTATCAGGGAACATATTTTTATGTAACTCTTTTAATATCTTCTCAAGGCTATGTGGGTGAGGCAACAAATGGACTTTTAGAATATGGCAGTGGCAGGAAACCAGCCTAGAAATGGTCTCAGGAAGCCCAAGGTCATCATGATCTAAGACATTGGTAGGAGGTTTAGGCAAGAGCAAAAGTTTAGAAGAACATGATTGTTCAAATACAGGCCAGTTAAAGGGTTTAAGCAAAAGGTGTCAGCAAGTTCACAGTCAACATGGTATAATGCAGCATTAATGAAGAAGAGGGAGGGCAGCTAAGTGACACAGTTGTTATAGACTAGAGTCAAGAAAACTCATTTTCCTGAGTTCAAATATGATCTCAGTCAATTGGTACCTGTATGATACTGGGCAAGTAGCTTAAACTTCTTTGCCTCAGTTTCCTCATCTGTAAAATGAGCTGGAAAAGGAAATGGCAAACCACTTCAGTACCTTTGCCAAGAAAACCCCAAATGGGCTCACAAAGAGTCAGACTCAGCAGAAAAGACTAAACAAATATAGCCTCCAGAATTAGCCACAAGTCGGAATGGAAAGGGAAGCTCCCCTAAAGAGCATAGAACCGTTGAACTTCAAGGGAACTGTTGGCCTAATAAGAGTTTCCACTCTTCTGAGGCTGTTTATTCCCTGAAAGTTGGTTGAAGATTAGCTGTCAGCTGCACTTCTATTTCAAAACAACTTCTTTTTTATTGGTCAATTTACCTTCATTATTTAGGTCTGAAATAAAAGCAATATATTCTGACTAGATTACATTGAACTTCTGGGTGTCCTGCATGAAATAGTGGATAAAGTACTAGACTTGGAAACAGGAGGTCTTGGTTTCAAAACCTGCTTCAGACCTTTAATAGTGCTGCTTTCGTGAGCAAATCACTTAACCTCTTCTGGCCTCAATTTTTTTATCTCCAAAATGAAGGGGTTGAACTTGATAATCTCACATGTTCCTTTCAACTCAAAATCTCTAATTTTATGATTTTGTGATGTTTACGTGTCACAAATGGCGCTGTTGTTCCTTCCACTCACACTGGCAGGTCAGGTCCATAATTGGTGACTGATTCCTGCTTTTTTCATATTTCTAAGGACAAGCCTGAAGGGTTGGGGGTTTTTCTTTAGCACAATAGCTCATGTGCCTTACTAGTGTGCATCCCTCACTGATTATCAGATTTTACCAATTATCCAATCAGACAGTTAGCTTTGAGAAAAGAGTGCTTGCTACAGAGTATACACTCCACAAATTGTCTCACAAGTACATAGAGTCCAGGGGTAGGTAGGCTTAAGGTTAGAGTACATGCTATAAAGGAGATACTTCACAGCTTTAAAGACTCCTTCCCACCATGGTCAAGATTTCTGCTGGGCTGCTTGTAAAGTACTAAACTTGACCTTTGCTCAATTTGTCACATTTGTCCTCAGCTCCCATTTGAAGACACTGCCATTAGTTGCTCCAGGGACACTCCAAGGGCACCCATGGGGAGTTCAAAATCTTCCAACCTTTCAAAATTCACACGGTCAGCTTCTGGGCCAAAATAAATGGAGCTAAAGGCTTTTCTTTTCCCAATCCTTGCCCCACCCTCCCAGGTGGTTTCCTCTGTGGCCTGTTTGGATTGTTCTCTTCCCTGGGCTGATCTGCTATTGGAATACTGTGTTTCAAATTGGTTCATCATTTTATACAAAAAAGCACCTTTCTGTATAGTATCATTTCATTTTACCCAATGGTTTTCCCTCCTTCCAAAGAGTCAAAAGACTTTTCACACCTATTTTTTTTTGCCTTTGATTCATTGATTTAATAGAAGTATTTATAACTAATTAAGGTAGTTACATAAAACAGGATGGGGATGTTTGATTGATTAATGAGAACCTTACCCTTCTACTATGTTCCATGGATATGCTGCTTCCGTAGAAGTTGTCTTCCCTATGTGTGGTGGAGAAGGGAAGAGAGATTATGGAAGAGGGCATTTTTTGAAATAGAAACAGGGATCTAAATGAAACATTTGTCAAGTTGTTTTCTGAAAAAAGACATATAATCATGGTGTCAGAATGGAAGGTTATTTGATCCTTTTATCCACAATAAATACATTTGATACTTTTCTTCATTTATAATCTCCAACATTATTGCATGGTGGAATGAAGAAATGCTGCTTCTGAATCCCTACAGGAATCTCATCTTTTGCTGGATTTCTTATGTATCAATTTTTTTTAAAGAAGCAAGTGCCTTGGAAAGTTCCCTCATGACAATCAAAACCTGATTTTATTTTTTCATTCTCAGCACTTTTAGCACTTTTGCTTGAGAAACTGAAGCAAAATATCGTGTTGGCCATTCTACAACCTGCTCAGAAACCACACTGACTTTAAAGAATGTAGCTTAACTCTGGAATCACCCAGCTCTAATTAAGCATGTGCTTTTCTGGTTCTCTAAAAATCGTGACATGGAAAGATTGGACACCCAGGCAGAGTCCATCAAAAGCTCATTAGTCCTAGTGTCAGCTCTGATGCATGTTCAGAAATGTGACATTGAATAAACTGCTCTAACCTTTGGTCTCTTGGTTCCCTTAATGTATGGTGGGAGGACCTTATTCAGAGGAGTATTGGAAGAAAGAGCTTAGAAATCATTTCTGTCTATAGCTTCTAAGGAAATGTGTGGCTCAGCACTTCTGTTAGATCATGGTGCAAATGAGGCCAAGCTTTCAGGTTTGCTCCCTCTCTAGGCTATTTAGTTCTGTTCTGCTCCATAGACTGTGTTTCTAACCCCGTATATCCATCTCAAAAAAACATACCAGTGGTCGCTGGAGGGCAGGAGACTGGGCTATATGGTATAAACAGATCAGACCAAATTCATCATCATTAATAAAAAAAAAATTGAAAGCACTTGATTTACTGAACATAGGTTACTATCATCATCTTCATGTATAGAAAACACATTACTGAGGAAATAAAGGGTACCAGTGTTTAGTGGAGTATTTTCTACAAAGAAGTAAACTGAAATAGAAATCAGTGAGGCAGCTAGTGACATGGGTTCTGCAAAACAAATAAGTAGTCTAGATGCACTCACTCCATGTGAGCATTTACTTTAAAGGATGTAATTTCTAAAAACACAATGTTAACTTTTAATGAATAATGCAAAGGAGGTGATAAACTGCTTCTCTTTTTTCCTTTAATGATCACTTTTCTTTCTCTCTTTTGTTTCAGAACCCAGTGACAGGCCCCCAGTTCTGTTGATCACAAATTACGAAACAATTGAGGTATTGTATCTCAATGGAAGCAAAGTGGCAGCCCTGAGTTCAGCGAAAGGAAAGGAAATTCACACTTTGGATTTTATTTATAATGAGGATAGAATTTGTTGGATTGAGTCAAGAGAATCTTCAAATCAGCTGAAATGTACCCAGATAACAAAAACTGGACAATTAACAGATGAATGGATAATCAACATTCTTCAGTCCCTCCACAGTAAGTGTTTTAATTCAGACTGCCTGTCATTCCTTATGGATTTCTTTTGCAGACCAAAATATTCCCAGATTTCCTTGCATGATTGAAAACGGTCAGAAATTTTATGCTTTCCAATATTTTGTGTATTTTCAGTTTCTCCCCTTATGCATTTCAACTATCTGTGGAGATAGTTATTGAGTTGATGATACTGATTCCTCTCTCAAAGCACTTCAATCAATGCTAGTTGCTTTGGTGTTTTGTTTCCACAGGCCACAAGCATGGTGTGTTGTAGCCAAGATAGAATAAGTAAAACAGAAAGTCAGTGAAGAATAGGGACTTGTGCATTATGTGCCATCCCATTGTAGTGTCTTATAAAATTCTTTGAGGACAATTAGTTTTGCAGGGTTAAATCACAGTATGCTAATTAATGACACCTATCTACAATTGCTACATCTTTCTGAGTAGCAGAACTTTTGTAAATCTCAGTTCCAACAGTGCTGCTGAGTTGTGTTATATGTTGCATATCTCTCACTTTTTAGAATAGGTGAAACAGTACCCTTCTTCACTTTATTATAAGCTGCAGCCTTTTCGGGGAATTACTATTGGGTGTGCACTTGTGTGTGGCTAATTGGAAACATTTATGCTTGGTATACATTTTCCAAGTGTGTATTGTGCATGCACACACATGCACAGACACAAGCACACACATACACATGTAATTAATTTTATTTTCAGCTCCACATTTTCCCCTTTTCTCGCCCTCTCCCCAGCCCACTGAGAAGTCAAGAAATATGATACCCATTAGACATATGAAGTCATGCCAAACATATTTCCACATCCCAGTGCATACACATACATTTATGCACATACATGTATGTAGATATATATGTGTATATACCATTCACATATTCACATATAGAGAAATGCCTTGAAAAATATTCTTGATAATTTTCACAGCATTTCTTTATATTATAATTTACTACAAGGCTTGACATTACCAATTCATTGTATATAAAAATCTGTAGAGAAATAAGAAAGAAAAACATTCACAGTCAAATGGAGGAAGAAAAAAACAGACAGTGCCATGATAACATTATGTAAAGTTTTCAAGTGTAGGAGGTTTGGTGGTTTAGAACCAATAATTTTGTTTTATTAAAGCTTTTGGGTACAATCAGTGAAAGGGGAATTGATGAAGTTAATGATTCTTATCAAATATAGAGAAATAAAATTATATAATGTCCAATGAGTGATTTCAGTGGATTTAATAATATATTTGTGACAAAAATGAGAAAATAGGACATTTAAAGTGTTAATTAAATGCATGTTTATGTGAACAGAAGAGAAAGATTTCATCACAATATAATTAAAAGCTTTGGAGATCTTCGTAGCACAGCTAAAATAATTGGCAAGTCCTTAAGTGTGACAACGGGTTACAAATTCCCTGAGCTGTTAACTATGTTTGATATTTCAAAGAAGCTATAGAGAGACTGTCATAGAAAATAGTAAATAATGAGTAGCAGTAGAGAAAGCAACAGGAGGGCTCCTTGGCTGTGTGAATGTCATAGACATTAGCCCCAGGCAGATGTTAGAGTCCTAGAGCTGATAACATTACCAATTAATTATTCAACACAAGCCTGGTCCCATTCAAATAAGGTAATTCCTTAGCCAATACCATTGCAGTTGACCCAGCCCTATTCAATGTAAGACAAATGGGTGGCTATTACAGTCAAAAATATTTCCAGGAAAAGGCATCTCAAATCTGTAAACAAACTATTCCCTTGTTAATATGCCTCATGGTAGGAATAAGCCTTTTCAAAATACATATTTCTTCTCATAAGCAAAATATATTTCCTTTAAAATATGTTATGTACAGCAAAAGTATAGCCATATAGCAAATATATAGCCATATATCAGTGAAATAATAACTTAGATTTGTGTTTCATTTATAAAAGTTATTTATAAGGTTTTTTAAGGAAACTTTTTGACTAAGTAGTTTGTAAAACTGAATAGTTAATTTTAACAGAAAAATTATATAATGGACATTTTTAAAATTAGAATAAATTATTTTTGGCCAAGTCAGCTTTAAACTGTGTAATTTTCTTAGTCACTTTGAATAAAAAAGTGATTAAATGTGTGGAAGTAATTTAATGGAGTGGGACAGAGGTATGTGTGAGGTAGGCTCCCCTGTAATTGCTTATAAAATAAGTATTTTATTGAGTCATGGAAACAGCTGTATTACTATATTATGGGGTATCCATCCAAGATAACAATTCTTGAATTGATGGTAAGTTTGAATATTCCTTGGATCCATGACGACTTAAAATCTCAGTCACACTGCAGAAGTAAAAATTATGAACTGATTGAAGTCCACTTGAATACTTGTCATTTTTTTCACTCTTCAGAGATTATCTCTTAGGCTCTTTTTCCATTTTTTTTTAGTCTCTACTTCGAATTTTCACAAAGAGTTTATTCCTTTCAATTAGGAATATATGTTGCTAGATATAGCGGTAGCAATGTTTGGGGGGAAGAGAAGGGGACTGTTATTTGGGGAGAAGAGAAGGGGACTGGGAATGGTGGATCTTTTAAGCTTGGGAGCTCTGAACTGCAGTGGCCAAGTCCATTAGGTGTCTGCAGTAAATCCTTCACCAACGTACATTTGCTTAAAATACCATTTTACAGAGAATTTACGTAAGACAGGCCTTCGCATGATGGCCAGAAGTGATAAAAGGATACTCTCAAGGTCTCTCTGAAGAATATTTTGGTATCAGTTGTGATACATGGGAAATACTGGCACAGTATCAGGCATGCCTGCATCAAAGAAAGCAATGTGCTCTATCAGCAAAGCAGAATTATGGTATCTCAAAAGTAATGTGGGATGCCAGAAATCTGGAGACATCTCCCTCTCAAATGCTCACATGTACTATTTGTACTCAATCTGCAGTCAAGCCTTCCAAGATCATATTGGTATGATCAGCCACAGCCGGACACATTACCTATATGTTAACCTCAATGTCATGATATCATTTTGATCCTCTAAGAGCACAAAGGACAAGCAACAATGTCCATGAGAGGGGAGGAGGGCCATAAGGTTACAAGGGGAAAAGAGAACTAAGTCTTTGATATATCTAATCAGAGATACAGTGGCAATGGCTAGTGGGATCAGGCTATGAGTATCAACTGAACTTCTAGACTAGGAGAGATAGAAAGATAGGAGAATAGAGGAGAAAAGAAGAGAGGAGAGGACAAGAGAAAATGAGGAAGAACACACCCTATTGAAAACATGTGAGAGAATTACACACTATGGGCTGTATCAGTTTGTAGATGGAAAACTATATTTAAATTTGCAACTTGTACAGACAGAAGCAAACAGAGTGTATTTTAAACAACCTACACAGCCAGTTTTCTAAGTATGACTCAATAATGAGGGTGCTTTTTGAGAGTAACACCTCTGAGGAAGATAAGACTTATTCTTTGTGAAGAGATAAAAGAGAGTTTATGTTTCCAATTGCTGGCTTTCATTTTCTTTCTTAAAGTTGCCTAAATGTTTACCTCATCATTTATGCAAGTGGCAAAAATAAAAGTACAAAACAAAACTTACAGATATTTTGATGAAAAATAACTTGGTACAGTCATATTCCACTTAAGAAGTTAGCAGTCATACACATTTTTAACAATTAATTCTTTACCAAAATATTTCTTGGTTAGACCATATGCTCAGATATCATCTGTAATTAAGAAAAAGTTTATTTCATTACACATGACTTGTCAGCTTCCCTTTTCTTCACAATCCCCCCAACCAAGGTTCAGAAAGAGAAAAGTGCTCAGTGAAATAGCTAGAAGTCCTGTAGACTCTTTGGCTAGATAACTACAGAAAGTTATGCTGAGGATTCTCAGTACTCTCCCTATGCCAGGTAGTTTCAACCTTATAAGCTATCCTTCTAGACTTTCTTCACATTATCATCATATGCATTCTCCAGGTAAGTAAGAAATAGATTCAAAGGTACAGAAACAGAAAATGGAATGTTGCATGCAAGGAAAAGCAAATACACCAGATGGATCATAGAGTACGTAGAAGTAAGGAGTTAAAGTGTAAGAAGAATGGAAAGTTAGGAAGGGATTGACCAGATAATGAAAAGCTTTAAATAGTAAATGACAGACTTTATATTTGATCCTCTGGGTAACAGGGAGCCATTGGATTTTGTTTAATAAGCAGATATCATGGTCAGATATAATGGAGAATAAAGGATATGATCCTAAAGAGTAATTGTCTTAAAATGTAACAAAATAAAACTTGTGAAAATGAATTGTATCATGCAGAATGATAACAATTGGAAAATTTGCCAAAACATTTGAGAATAAATATTTACAGGAAAATTTATATCTCTACATATTTTCATAAAAAAAAGAGGGGAAAAAAAGAGATCATAGATGCATCTGAACAAAAAATAAAAACAATCCCTCAAAAAATCTCCAAGTAGTAAACACACACACACACACACACACACACACACAAGCAAATCCTGAAAATCAAAGAAGAAATTGAGTTGAAAATAAACGCACACAAGTCTTCTTGATTTATTCCTGAGGAGTTACTGTTTGGAGAAGACTAATAAAATGGAAAACCATTACCTAGTGTGAATTTAGAAAACAGAAGAAAACTGAATCAGCAAAATTTAAAATTAAAATGTTCATCCGAATTTGATGAGTAAATAAAGAAAATTATTAGAAATAATTATGCCTGGTTATATAACTAAAAATTAAAAACATAAATAGCTGAATATTTACCAAAATAGAAAACAGATTAACAAAACAAGAAATTGACAATTAAAAAAACAGATACAGAAATTGAACAAATAATAAACTATGAAATAAAACAACTCAGGACCAGCTGGAATTCAAACAAAATTTAAGTGACAATTACCTAAAAAAAAATCAGAAACTATTGCCAAAGACTTTCTCTCCATATATTGACATAAATGTGATTTTTTGATATGTTCCATTATATTTATACTTTTCTTAAT